AAGACAGAAAGTGATGGGAAATCCAACATTTTTGAGTTGTCCCCAAAGCAGGCAATGAAGGTGAATCTTACAATGGGGACACCAGATCTGGTGGCAACTGCCTAAAAAGGGAAGTCCCTTGACTTTTTAAAGATTTCCCCTCACTTCCTGCTCTGCCTCCGGAAAGAAAGTGAATTGAAACCCTTCCTTACTTTATTCAAAACTAGTAAAACAATGTTTGTCTATACACATTCTTTGAAGTGCAAATGAGGCCAAACATTTTTGGAAGTTTCTCTATGTTTTGGATGGAGTGGAGAGGGACTGGATCACCTGTCAGGTGTTTATTACTGTCTCTCTATTTGTCCTGGTGAACGGTGTAAAAGCAAAAGTGAAAGGAAAACCCAAATTGTGGGTCACTACCAGAGCAGGAATAGTTGGGAAATCAATGCTGGCCAGCAGGGATTTCCCTCCCTTGGGTAGGAATTTTCTCTTACTTCCTGTTGTGGCTGTAGGACAGGAAGTGAAGGCAAATATCCCCAATGGGACACAGACCGAAAAAAAGCTACCTACTAGACATGTAAGCTGCGGAAAAATTTGGTTCGGTCCAGTTCGGATATTTTGTTATTTCGGAATTGGATCCGAAATTCAATTCAGTTCAGGTTTCAAATTCAGACGAAATCTGAATTTTCGTTAGTTTCGGATAAGTTTACGAATATTCGTTGCAAATACCACAGGAAACCAGATACAGATATTAATACTAAAGCTAAATCTCCCAGACCCAAATTGCATTCGGGAGCTTCGGAATGCCATTCGGGTCTGGGAGCCTCAACGTTAGTATTATATGTATATACTGAATATAAATTTTCTTTATGGCAACATGGGAGCTATATACTATATGGCTCCCATGTTGCCGTAACGAAAATTCATGTTCAGACCCATTTGGACTTATTACACCGAAAAACACATCTGATTGGCCAGAAAAGTCACATGTCCGATTCAGTTTAGTTTTTGAAGGAAATTCGGACGGGATCCGAAATTCGGAAACGGAAATTCGGATTCGGACACATTCAAATGCATTGGGATTCGGAAATTCAGATGTACCTGAATGTTTGAATTTCTGAAAATTTTGATTCGGAACGAAATGAATCGCACAAGTCTACTACCTACCTTGCTCTATCCAAAACTAAAAAAGTGTTGGCTCCAGTTCTCCTTGGCTTTTCTAAAGACTAAAATTATTTTACTGGCCGTGAATTCCATTATAGAATCTCCTGAATTTTATCTTCCTGAAAATCGCTCTGTCGGCCTATGTACGGCAGGGCAGGGACAGGACATTGAGTTATGTCACTCCGATAATGTTCCCATTAGCCGTCCATTCATCTCCCCTACGGATGATGAATCGTAGCCAGTGTTCCGCTCTTCCTCCTAGGAATGAAGGACATTTTTTACCAGATCCGCTTTCAAAACATTGCGGCCTCTTGAAACCGAATGCCCAGAATGGGGTCACGGGTAGGGGCGTCCTTTCAATCCCCAGTAATGATCTGTTGAAGGGCTGTGATCCAGGCGAGAGCTCTGTCTTTGTTCTGCTGTCACCCGATAGCCCGCACCTTGACGTGTGAATGAAAAGGTGAGACTGGACAGGGAGAAGTGGCTGTTTTCCTCCTGGTGACACAACACTTGGCGTCTAAATATATCGCCCGCATTCATCTGGAGAGACGCTCTTTGGGCCGGGATACTGTTCTCTTTTTATTGTCACCGACCCTTAAGCGGTTTAGAGGCCTTAAAGGAGAACTCTTCTAAGCATTGTTGCCAACTGTCTATAGAGACTAAACTGATACATATTACTCAGCAGTATACTAGGAACATTTTACTGGGCATTTCATACCTTAAATGCAGAACTGTCAGTAATTTTACTGACATTTGGATGAAAATAATTATTTACATATCGCAATATACAGCTGGGGGTCCCCGGTTCGAATCCCGGTCAGGACCTGCTTGAGCTTGTGTGGGTTTCCTCCGGGTACTCTGGTTTCCTCCCACACTCCAAAGACATGCTGGAAGGTTAATTGACCCCTGTCTATATTGGCCTTGTGTGCATGTACAAATGGGGGCTAGGGTTGCACAGATACCAAGTACAGTACTCGGTATAAGTACGAGTACATGTACCGATACTTTTGAGCTCCAAGACTACACTAGAGAAAAATAAAAAAATTAGGAAGCAGCTGTCATTTGTAAGGAGCACACGGAGCTTCTGGGATGTGTACATCTCTGCTTTAATGTATGATTTTGTTTTTATAAATATAAATAAAGGGATGCACAGATACCAGTTTTGCGAGTACGAGTACTGGTACTTGCCGAGTACTTACAAGTACGAGTACTGATACATTTTTGTTTATTGTCATGTGACAGTTTTTCTAAAACAATACAGACTAATGATTTCAGGACAGTGGTGGAGTGCCAGAGCCAGGTCCCAGCTGCAACCACTGCAACCCTGGTAGTTCTCATGAAAATGCCAAGTATCTGCGCTAGTACTCGAAAAGTATCTGTGCATCCCTAATGGGGACCTTAAATTGTAAGTTCCTTGAGAGCAGGGACTGATGTCAATGTGCACTATGTAAAGCACTGCGTACATTGTTGGCACTGTATACACTGAGTGGCTAGATTATTATGAGATGACTCCACGAGATGACTCCACGAGATGACTTCGTTGGGCCGCCTCGTGACTCCACGAGATGTTGAGAGGTGATGCGAGGAATCTGACACGGCACTGTTGCCCTTCTGTTGTCTTGTACCAGTCTTGCCACTCTCCGTTCTGCCCTAACATTGACTAGTCGCTGACGGCCACAATTCGCACGTTCAGACCCAGATTTTCGGCTGACAGTCCGGTCTTTAAACACTTTAACAACAGCTGCTCTTGAACATTTAACGAATTCTGCTGTTTTGCTGATACTCGCTCCATGGCTCCGAGCGCCAACAATCATCCCACGTTCAAAGGCTGTTAAATCTCGTTGTTTACCCGTATCTTCAGAAACAAATCCCTTCTACGGTCGTGGTAAACAACCTGCTTCCCTATTTATAATGGTCTGGCCCTCTAGCAACTTCAGCGCCAAATTATAGCTAATTATAGCTAATTTGCCTACAAATGTCAGGTGGTCATAATAATCTGGCCACTCAGTGTAAATACCTGTAATGAATAAATAAAAACATTTCTGAGGCGGCATCTTAGTCCAAGAATTAGATTCTGACCCTGTATGATGCCTGAACAAAAAAGGCTCCATCCTTTAATCATCTTAAATCTGCAGATTTCATTAAAATAATACGTTATGTACCTGCCATTAAGGTGCCTCATTAGGCACCTCCTGTCATGAAATGTCTTTCAGTTGTGCTCCTGCATTGTTAACATGTTACATGCACCCCTAAAGGAGATTTTGAGCTGCTGCACTGACACACATTGCACAGGCATGTTCTACCTTTTCACTGTCAGGAAGCCGATCCTGAGCAATGATGTGCAGGTGGAGCACATCATTGACAGGAGGTGCCTGATGAGGCACCTTAATGGCAGGAGTGAGTGCATGTAATAGTGAGTGCATGTAATAGGTGGCTGAACGAGGCTGGGGGAGATCAGCAGCACTGAGATGGGGGAAAAGGATTAAAAAAAAAGAGAAAACAGTGTTTAATGGGGAAAAACATTGTTCATGATACATGGTGCTTTAGGAACCTAAATGTCTTCCAGTTAGGATTCACATCTACTGTAACCTTCCCCAATGCCATCAAATTGAAAGACATCTCTTAGCATGGCCGAACAGGCATTTTTATACAGTATGTATGGAAGAAGGAGATCAACGCCTTTTGTGATGGCTTATCCCAACCTGAATGATTCTTCCCTGTGAAGGGATTTCCTAGGAGGTCATAGTATATGGATATACAGTATAATGGCTTCCTATTTGACTGTGAAGGGGCCAGGCCATCCATAAATCAAGTTTTATTTCTGTACGCACCTTTAGAATAGAGGCAGGGAGATCTTTGTATTAGGACATCCGCCATTAATCTTTTCCAATGTTGATACACAACTGACCTCCACTTCTACAAAGAACAGTGAAGACTCAAGTCCATTGGTGGGTAGATGTTTTGTCTGTAGGCACCATTAGAACATATCTGTTTCTTCTCAGCGATGAGAGGCAGGGAGATATCTGTACTGGAATGTTTTTACACTATATTAGGATAGCCGCCATGAATCTTGTCCAGTGGTGATACACAACTGTCCTCCACTCCTGCATAGAACATTGAAGACTCAAGTCCTCTGGCGGGTAGATGTTTTTTTCTATAGGCACCTTTAGAATAGATGTCTTTCTTATCAAGGATGAGAGGCAGGGAGCTATCTGTATTGGAACATTTTGTTATCACTGCGGTGGGACATCTGCCATGAATCTTGTCCAGAGGTAATACACAACTGTCCTCTGCTCCTACATAGAACAGTAAAGACTTAAGTCCATAGGAGGGTAGATGTTCCAAGTTGGAGGAGCTCCCCATGCAGCTTCTGACACACAGAGGAACTCAGTGTAACCCCTTAGGAGGTCAGGGATGGCCGGATGAATGCAAACCCTAAAATGGGAACATCATTTTTAAATATTGTTCATGAGATCTATAGCTGTAAGTTACATTTGTGCAGAGTCACAAGCTTTTAGATTAATCGAATGCTCAGCTTTTACAGTTGTTAGTTTTGTGTGAAGCACAGGCACTACAACCCTCGTTACAGCTGCACAGTGACATTCTAGGAATGCAACACCCCGATCTGTATTTTAAATCCCACTACAACACTATATGCATGTTGTATGTTCTCCCTGTGTTGGTGTAGCCTTACCTCCTTCAAGAAAACCGTTCTAGTTCCATATTTACACTTTGACCAGATAAACCAAGGGCTTCTCTTAATGGGACAACTATGCTGAACAGAGGATGCCAAGAGATGAGATCACATGTGCCGCAGTACAAGGTCTGATGTTCTGTTTTCTTCTCTCCTGATACAGAGCGTTATCAAAGACTTCAGCGTCCCTTGCCCTAAACCAGACCCAGCACTGCAAGCAGCTGGATGGCCTGGTCTCCTCGCAGATGCAGCTATGCCGGAGTAACCTAGAGCTGATGCAGACCATCGTCTTGGCAGCTAAAGAGGTGAAGAAAACATGCATTAAAGCTTTCTCCGATATGAGGTGGAACTGCTCGTCCATCGAGCTGGCACCAAACTTCAACCAGGATTTGGAGAGAGGTAGGGAACAGGGAATTAACGGATAATATTGAATGTTTTTTGCCCTTTAACTAAGTACTGTGATGTAATTAAGACCTTTCTAAAATCTTTGTGTAATAACATTACAGAGTCACCGGTGGTACAGTGTATTCTGCCAAATGCATCTTTTGGTGTTTGGCGACTCGTGTCTTGTGTTTCTGCTCTCATACATTCAACTGTGAAGTAACAATCATGATTCTGGAAGTTAAAACGGCATAGTGTAAGGAGTTTATGATATATGAGATGTGTGTCTTGTGATATCAAGGGTTTAAACTGACCATAGGGAGGGTCTTTGGCTGTTCCCCACAGTCAGTAACCATCCTATGGAATATTGAATTGCGATTTTCTAAAAACAGCGAAGTGCCATTTAGAATTGCAACTTTCTGCTAGAGTTTGGAGGAATGCGGTGTACAGCGACTCGCTGCGAGGACGGTGAAGCATGGAAACTGCTTATTTTCACAAATACTTCTCCAGGAAAGGTTTTTTTTTGTCTCCTTGTCCTAATCAATTGCAGGGAATAAAAGGACGTCCTGACCAGACAATAATGGGCGTCATGTCAGAATCAGCAAAGGATTCTGGGTAGGTTTCTTTTGTTTTGACAACAAGCAAATAGCTCAATCAGTGGTGTGAGATACAGCGCGTTAGTGAGCGAGACAGGCAGGAGTGAGCGACGGAGACCAAAATGATGGGGGGTGACGAGAGAGGAGCGGAGAGGTGGAGACGGAGATATGGATCCCGGGCAGAACGCGACCATTGGTGGCTGATTTCATGACTATTGCGACATTTCTGTTAATTGCATATATAAGGGTTTGTTGGCATTGAGGTTGCTTCTCCTTTTCTTCTCCCATCACTGTTTTTTTATCAGGAAACATGTAAGTAGCAGAGCAGTACCGCATAGACCAGCGGTCGCCAACCTTTCGGACCTCATGGACCACTAAATTCATCATTTTAAATCCCACGGACCACTAATATGAGATGACGGCCTAGCCTGCACAGCATCAGAGCGGCCCGGGGACCACCAAAATGTTCTTGCAAACCACTGGTTGGCGACCGCTGGCATAGACCCCAAGAAGAAGTTTCTTGTATACACAACGGTTACTGAGAAGGATCTGAAAAACATCAGTCGTCTCTAAGAGCTCATGCACACAGGCGTCCTGAATTTACAACGTGCTAGCAACAAGATCCTGTGTTTTTAGTTGTGCAACTGCTGTACGCATGTAATGTTTGTGAGCAGCATTAATGCAGCCTATTGGTTCCTTTGATGCAGCAATAGCCGCCTGCATCCTAGTAACAGAAAGACACAAGGTAGCAATAGCCACTTGCAGCCTAGCAACAGAAGGATGCTAGGGGGCAATAGACGCCCGCATCCTAGCAACAGAATGGTGGTAGGCGGCATTAGACACCTGCATTCTATAAACAGAAGGGTGCTAGGCAGTAAGCCTGCAAACTGTATACAGAGTCCTCTAGGGCATTAATACCCAGACTTCCAGGGCTAATGGCCACTCAGTCAACCTTGTGCTCTAACAGCTCATCAATGTTTAAAATAGTAAACACATGACATTTACTTTGCTAAAGTGTCATACACAATTGCGTTTTGGTACATAAACTACTGTTTTTCACTTTTTTTTTTCTCACCTCAGTTCTGCCGTACTCCTGCAGCGTATTTGAGCCACTTCTTGCCTAAAAGCAAAAATTAGCTGCTGAAAATATTGCATCTCCCTGCCCAGCTCTGGGATGCTCTGGCTGGCATCCCGTCCAGCTCCTGACAACCAGTGACATCATTGGGTGGGACGCCGGTCAGAGTTGGAGCCAGAGGTGGGCGGGAAGATGATCCAGAGCCCCCCACCAAATCTCCTGTAGCTTGCACCCCCCAAGGGCCAAAAGACTAGGATGCCCCGGCTGTCAAAAATGTACAATATGCACCTTTTTCAGGCTTCTACTGAAGTCTATGTGGCTAAAAATGTGATATTCTGCTTTAAAAATGTTCTAATATTGATTTTGGCATTCCTGTATAGTGCAGAAGGTCGCCGTTACCGCAAAGAACCCCTACCTGTATCGATTGTAAAACCTGCGTCCCTCCATGCAGCAACGTCCATCATCTTATGTACAGATCCGGGAATACTGGGTGTCATCTCTATGATGGCCTTGGATATTTTGTATCTATAGTACATGCATAGTACTATATTAATATATGTATAGGGCTAGATCATAGTTCGGTTACCGCTAAGGTGCCCTTTTAACCCCCAAAATCAAACCCAATTTTTCTAGCCTATGATGTGGGTGACTTGGAGCTGCTCCCAGTACACACAGACCAAAGCAGACCTCTGGGTGAAGTCTCCCCCCTTCATAGGATTCATTTCAGTCATCGCCAACGTACAAAGCCGAGCTCTCTTTTTTAATGGCGTTTTGACAGCAAGAGGGAGATGGAGGCCGTGGCTGCTCCTTTGTGAGCCGGACATTAATGGACAAAATATATACACTATCTATCTATCTATCTATCTATCTATCTATCTATCTATCTATCTATCTATCTATCTATCTATCTATCGCTCGTCTCTCTCTCTCTCTCTCTCTCGTCTCTCTCTCTCT